ATCACAAGTAATGAACAATTTTGGTGCTCCTCTGAACCCCTTCCAAGTTCAGATTCCTAAAAACAAGATGGCCGTCCCCTAAAACGTCCCATTCTCACCCAAGATTACAGTGACTCATTCACATGAAGATGCTTCCTGATAGTGGTGCATAGTTAATAACTGTCTGCTGCTTTCCAAATGCTCACCAGTATTGATGCCGAAGGAGACAGCAAGCGATGTTCTCCAGTGCTTTAAAATGTGCATCACCTGACCACACAGTGATTCTTTTGCTGTTTTTCTTAAGACTCAAATGTAACATTCTGCTATTTTTTAGCACAGTAAAAAACAACAACAACCCAACAGCTCTGGGTTTTTTGTGCATGCGTGGATGCACACAAAACCACACACAGGGACATAAAACAAGCCCTGGGAACTGTCAAAACATTCATGCTGTATACTGGACAGCATCCAGGTTGCAGTGAGCAGAGAAATTCTGTCATCCAACATGTACAGCAGTGACTCTGAGGAAGCCTCTGTCAAGAATCTTTTTTTAGCAGACACACAGGTTTCCTCCCTTCCCTTAAAAACCCTTTAGAAAAATAAAAATGCAGTTGGTCAACAATAGCCTTTCAAGGCACTTCCGGGGGGATGTAACTGAAAACTTTCCTCCTAGGAGGGCCAAAGCTGCTGCCAGGGAGGGTCTATTTCGAGGTGCTGCTGCCACTCAGTAAGAACCGCTTCAGCTTCCCAGTCGCGGGATCGGGTTGCAACATGCAGGGCAGCCATAGGCTCTTTGGAAAAGAGCGGGGAGGGCGGGGTATAAATCTTAATAAATAAAATAAAAATAAAATAAAATAAAAGCGAACAATGCAATCCACCCTTTCTTATTTTTTGCTACGGAGATCATGCCTCCAGCTTATTTTGTCAGCCTGCTTCCCTGCAGCTCCCGGTGCTCGTCCGCCTCCTCCAGCCCCCCCCCATTGAGATCTCCTCGCTCGGCCCGTGAGCGCCGGAGAAAACAAGCCAGATGATTCCTGTCTCAGCACGGGGCCGTGCAACCAAGTTGGGGCGCGAAAGCCAAGCCAAGCTCTACCCCGCAGCAGGGAAGGGGCGCAGCAGAACAGCCTCTCTGCAGGGCAAAGAAGCCATAGGGGGCGGGGGCGGCACAGGAGAGGTTGTGGCGGCGAGGAGTGAGCAGGATCGAGGGGGTGCGGGCCAAAGTCACCCACACTTCATGTGTAGGAGTGGGGAATCAAACCCAGTTCTCCACATTAGAGTCCGCCACTCTTAACCACTATACCATGCTGGCTCTCAACCCTTTTAAAACCCTTTTACTCATCAGTTTTGATTTTTTTTAAGTCTACGCCAGGAACATGACAGCAGCACTGCTTAAAAACACTGTACCACCACCACCGAGTTGCCATCTTTGACAGTGGATTCGATCTGGATGTGAGCTGGGTTTGAGAAGATGACCAGATGACCAGAAGAAGTGGTCATGACAGGGTTTCTGGTCGACGGAACAGCGATGGCGGATGCTCTCCCCACAACGGGGGAGGGCGAATCACACACCAGTGGCCTGGAGGGGTGCCACATCAAGTGACACTCCTGCGGAGCCTTTGTGATAGGCTCCAGGCCAGGGGGCTTTTGAGGGGCAGCCTCTTTGACGGCGTAATGCTGGAGAATTGAGGCTCCCCTTTGCCTCAATGGTCCAGTCGCTGAGTGGCCTTCGGGCATAAGCTGGACTGACCGGGACAAGCGCCGGAGATCGAGCGGAATGGCGTAAAATTGAGCGCAGTCAGAGAAACTGACCGACAATGAACTTGAGTTCTGAATAAAACGTAGTAGTTTGAAAAGCGATCCCCCCCCCGCTGTTGAAAAAAGAGAATGCAAAGAGGGATGCCTCTTACATGAATGAGCGGCTAAGGGACACGAAGGGGGAGAGGGGAGGAAGTAAACCGAAAGTGTTTTGAGAGACTTATCTGAATTGCGAAGTCGTTTGACGAGTTTTCCGAGTTGCGTGGAAGCGGCAGAAACTGTAAACAAAACGGGCAAGATGGTGGCCCAGCAGAGAAAGTTGAAAACGAAGCCGGGCAGTCAGAGTCTGAAACCGGAAGAGGGAGCAGATGTCCTCAAACTCCTGGCGGACGTGCTCAAGCCGGTGATGGAACAACTCAATGCTATTAACCAGCAATTGACCGTGATGAATAAAAACTTTGCAGCTTCAGCTGAACGAAACAGAGAAAAAAGTGGAGCAGGCAAATGAGAAAATTAAAGAGATACACACTACAAGCAAGAAGCTGAAGAAAAGGTTGGGAGAGGTGGAAATGAAGCAGAATTGCCAAGAGAATAGAGTTTTGCAGCTACAGATGGCTAAGAGTTTGTATGTTTTCGAAATTAATCCCTTGGCAGATATTTTGGCCATTCTAATTATATTTTCCAAAGACGTGTGTGGTTGTTTTGATACTAGATCCAACTTGAGATGCTTGAACATGTTTGATATTTGAAAATATTGGAACCACGGAATTTTATGTTTTATTATTGCTTCCAAGTTTATTTTTGTTATTAGGGAGTTTCTGTCTATGAGATCACGTAGCGTAGTGATGCCCGCTATTTTCCATTTGTTATATTCAGGATTTAACAACCCTGGAAGAAACCAGGATTGGTTTTAAAAAGTTTGGTACCTAGATACTGGAGGTAGTAACTTAGATTTCAAGTGATCCCAAATTTTCAAAGCCACAGAAATTACTTGGTTGTTACACAAATTTTTTGTCCTTTCTTGTTTTGCCTGCCATATGGTTTCTTGAATAGTGTATGGATCGGTGTAGTGTTCTGCTATAATAGCTGAGTCTGATTTTGGATCTGCATTTACTAATTTCACC